TAATTTAGCAGTGTAAGACTAGATGGAAGGCAGCTAGTTATCACCACCCACCGCCAACTCTTGTGCTAGTCTTTTACAAACGAATAGTAGGATTGACCATCACAATAATAACGCCCCCACGGGTGAAAGGGCGAGCATGTTTGGTGGGACAGGGATTCAAACCCGCGATCTTCAGTAGAACATTATGTAGATTGTGATCACCAAAGTGCTGAAGAAAGAGAGCCTGACCATATGAAGGGGTATTCGAGAATTTTCCAACGCCAGAAAAATGTTGAACAACACACACTTAATACAAAAACATATTTATCCATTCACTGTAAGTTACTAATAATATGTATATATTTAAACTATATTTTGTTTAACGATACATAGATCTAATCTAGATTGACAACAATTTGCTGTTTTTATAACAAATTAAAATTATCATAGCGAAAAACAGTACAATGACTATAGACATTATGAAAAGAAAGAGAACTGGTACCCCACAAAACAGCCATTCCCGTGGCTTTTAATGAAGGGATATAAAAGAAATAACTACTTCAAGTCACTCGTAGTATTTGATTTCTTAATTAAATTATTATTCAATAAAGAAGCAGTTGTTATTTCTCTGAGGGGGATAACTTAGAACTTGATCCACCACTATTTTCAAGCACAAAAAATCCCCCCTTTAAAAATGGAGGTTATTATCAATTACATACTGAAATTTGCTCAGTAATTCTACATTCGGCATGAATGTTTGTGATACTGATAACATTATATACAAAATATTTTAGAGTATATTTATTCTTGAAACAATGATTTACATTAATCATAATCAGTATATCACTGGACTTGAATGAATGCATTTTCCAGGCTCATCATTTATAGTCCTAATTCTTAGATTATACCATATAAATGGATACATATTTTACAGACAAAATCAACAGTAAACTTACTGAGAGCGAATAGGCAGGTCCCATCCCCCAAAACATCGTAAATATCAGCATTGTTCGTGGTCTCGAATATTAACAGAAAGCAGCTTTCAGGCCGACCCAAAATGGAGCGTTTGATGAAGTTGTTCTTTGGGAATACCTATAAAACTTGGATATCTAAATTTAGATATAGATTAAAATGTGCTCAGGTGTATACTATGTGATCAATTGCTTATATGCTTGCATACAAAAACATGTGCTTTTGGACCCACAAATATAATTTCTGCTGAAAATATTAAATCATTTTTTATATGTTTGTATTGATATTTTTCTTTAACTATCAGACATTATATGCAATATATGGAAGATTTTGTTATGAGTCTTTCATATTAACTTCTGATCAAAGCAATCTATCTACTTAAAGCGAAACTAAAAATCAACCTCGAAATAAGTGTAGCTGATTAAATAAAATTTTCTAATGTTCTTTCATATAAATATTTGAGTACATTGTTTGATGAGTTTAGGTACCCCCGCTGTCCTCAAATTGGCCAAGTTTCTAGGTCCACAGTATGCAGAAATGTTCGAGTCCGATGATGAAATTATGGTGAAGATTCCCGATCATACAAGCACAAAATTTATGAAGCGCTTGAATGAAGATATGAAGTTATTTTATTCCAATAAGGATGAAACTAGTTTTGGTGGAGAAGAGGTTCCAAATGGGTTAAATAATTTTATGGAGTTTCTTTTTATAAAACACAATCTCAAAATACCTCATAAAGTCGAATTTGTTCAAAAAAGAGCTGTTGGAAAATCGAAAAATTATTTTCCTCTTGTTCAATCAAATATATTTATAGAAATATTTTACTCGAAAACGAAAAGGACAGATATTTTCAGCCTTTTGGCTATATTATTTCAGGATTAGAATGTAAATCATTATTTGGTATATGACAGTAAATAAAATGGAATAGAGTTTAATGTAAATGTTTATTTTGTTTTTCATTTTACGTATTACGTATTAGACGTCTATATAAAAAAAAATCTGCAATGAAAGTCCCATAAGGAGTCTTGTCTGTTTGTTTTACATCAAAGCCACATTGGGTTATCTGCTGTGTCCACTCCGGAGAATCGAGCTTCAGATCTTAGCCTTTCAAGTTCATAGTTTCACCACCGTTCCACCGGGTGACAAAGAGCATTCTTAAATTTCACGTTCGTTAAACTGGGTGGTAATATCAGTTTGTTGTGTTTCATACTATTTTGCTCACGGTGGTTCAGTGAAATTAAAATAGGAAAGCTATACACAATCAATAAATCAATAATATTGGGCTATATGAATATACCATGCGTTTTTAGCTTCTTGTAATATTATAGTATTTGTTTTAAGTTTATTCACTGTTATGTGTATTTGTAGGTTTTCATAACAGTTGTCGAAAAAAGTTAATATTTTTGTAAGCTATATTACTTGTTCTCGAAATGGATAATAACTGTTCCCTCCAGGAAAAACATTACTCAATATTACACACAGCAATGTCTTACAACGGCTGTTCAGGTGTTACCTAGAAGATATGGTACCATCTATGTTGTAATGAAAATGGTCAATAGTCGCCCTAGGTAAATGAGAGTTTGTTTTTCTTGTATGATAAGGAACTACATTTGGTCAGTTTGTCGCGAACATCATACTGGGTGAATATAGTCTGAAAAACATCCTGAAGAATTAACGATTGAAAGTATTTAGACACAATGCCAGTCTGTCATGCTTAATATTCAAGCAATTACACAAATCATTATTTCATTTTAGAATGACTTAATTACAAAGAGGTTTAGTAATTGATATGTTGAAAGAAACTGTTATGTAGGAGACATATCTAAAATTGCTTTGAATGTTATTTCAGATTTATCTTAATTCATCACAGAGTAGACAAGTAGGAGAACATTTGATGTCGTGACCAGGAATTTGTTATTGCAGAGTTTACGGGAGGTAAAGTCAGTCGCCAAACGAAGATTGTTGTTCAAGAGAATTGTAAGTCCAGGAGTAGTCCTCTCTTCGGTATAGGACATTTGCTGATGCAACAAAGGTCTTTGAACTTTATCTTGTTACAACGTATAACTCAGGAAGAAGACCTGTTGATTTATGGTGAACTCAGAATGACTGGTCATGCTCTTCCCATGAGGAACAACCTCGGAAAGATATAAAGACGAACCGAGAATCATAATGACAGTATGGCATTTAGTGAGCCTGAGATCGGGTGTATTGATCTCTGAAAGACTCATGGACTTTCATAAGCCACAGCAATTCAATCCCAGCTCTGGTTGAATCACTCGTGAATATTGGTGGACGATATCCATCAACTAGAGCTATCTCTTCAGCAGGTAAGATAGTAAGTGGTGAAGTGAATTGGTCATGGAGCAACGATAAGCCTGCCAATCTGGACATGATCCAAGGAGGAGTTTGAGGTCAAGCAGAACCAATGGATGTTTATCCTTTAGTACCTTGTCGTTCTGCTACAATTGAGCAAATGGCTACCACCCGTCAGAGTATTGAGATTCTTAAGAGTCCCTACCATTTTGTACCTATGATGCCGAAGTAATCTCAGTCAGTTGCCAGATGTGAAGTGAAAAATGAGGGCATCTAAACTTGATAACGATTCTCCCTGAGTGAAGATGTGGAACATTTCGTGCGGCATTTCAGCCAGAAAATTCTCTTTAGAAAGTCCTGCTCCATACTCCATTGAGTACTTCCAAGAGGAGCAACTTTTGAGTTATGAAACAGTCATTACCAAGTTGTACCAGAAGTTAAACCTGGTGTAAATCAATAATCTAGCGGGCCGAATTCAAGACTTGAAAGAGATATACCATGGAAAGCCTGAAAACTTACGCGGATGATATTTGTCGATTGTATCGTAAGGCTGACTCTGTAGCAGTCTCAACAGATTGCGAGGTTATCTTCATTGACACGTTCGTAAAAGGGCTACTCAATGAGACGATGTGGCATAACCTGGATGTGAAAGACCTCATTTTCACCAACACTGAGGCAGTTTCTGTAGTGATGCAATAAAAAGAGCTATTTACAAACGAGAAAACAGCCCGTAGCAACAGCTGCAATCACTTTACCTAGGATAGAGAGGCACACCGAGGCACCCACGCTATGCCAGGTTCGAATCCAGCCAAGGTAACATGAAATTATTGTGAAGCCAAAAATACCAGCATACATGGCAAGTTACCGCTATGAGTAAATATACTACTACGAATGCTGAAGTTACAAAACCTTTACTAACAAAGTTTAATTAAATATTTGCGGAAATCTAGAATTTTTCATATTCTTTTCACAAACTTACAACTGGGTGTTTTGAAAAGTGCAACTATGTATTTTGGCATTGATGGTAGTTTCTATATTATACGATTTGATGAATAGATAGAGACCATGAATTTATGAAAAACATGTATCCAGTTATGTTTCTGAAGTTATGCATTTTTTTGTTTTTCTCGACACATAGGATACTAATTGATATAATAATCTTCCAGGATTTGTTATTTAAACTATTTAGACCCATAGTTTACTACCATGATCATAGTAAATTATTATAAAGTTAAACCAATTAACAAAATATTTCAATATTCTCGTATAACTGGTTCATCTATGTTTATATCAGTTATTTTAATGATACAGCATTAAAATATATGAATTTATTTTGCATGCAACTATATTCCTAAAAAGCGCAAAACTTCCCGCCGTTTACAAATAATTGGGTAAAATTCTCGGATCATTCACCTTCCAAATTCTTTCATTTCATGCTTTTGTCTATATATTCAACTATCCAAAAAATGATAACTTATATTATTTGTGTTGTGAGATTTATTCTAAGTTTTTATTTAGCCGAAGTAGCCTATACACTATTGAACCAAAATGGCTAATTGCATTGCCGAAATATCATTCAATGATTTGAGTATATTTTTATGATTTTGACAAATACCCTTTACACCTACTTGAAATATGTTTTTATTCTAATAGCTTTTCAATGTTTCAATTAATAATTAGTAAAACATATTTCAATCAAAGAACCAAAGCAATGTACAATTACATATTATCTAGAAGCACTGACTTGATTCCGAAATGTTATACTTTGAAGTTGAACTGAAAACGATTTACCAGGTTAGAGTGAAATAGCATACTGTGAAGCTGTTGAATTGTCTATTTATCTTAACAATAAAAAAAAACAATAGTATGCATATATAGACGCTTGTCTGTAGAGTTAATAATCTAGAAAGTAAATACAATAAAAATTCGCATCTTATAGTGCAACGTGCGCCTTCAACGGTGTTTAATGAGAATTAACATTAAGAACACTGCTTATTACTTTAACACGATCCCAAAAAATTAAGTAATTCAATCTTAATTTCAGTACATACTTTCGTAATTTACATTTTCAGTTAGCTCTGTATCAGCATTATATAAAGTGATGATTTATCAAAAACAGAAGAAAGTTCTGTTGCACAGTGATATTTACAGAAAATAAAAATATTACTTTTATCATATTTAAGATAGATAAATTATTAAGACTTACCTTACAGGGTATACAAATCTTTTTCAGAACGGTTATGTTAACGTTAATTTAAACCAATAACATAAAAACTCTATCGTTGAAATCTTCCAATCTCAGCTGTTGTATTAACCAGCAGAAAACTGCATTAGAGCAACATAAAATTTCAAAGTTTCAAAGATTGTCCTTTTGTTTCAGAACAAAGCCACACTGGGCTATATGCTGTGTCCACCACGGGGAAACTTACTGTTGTTCAAACGGAGAACACGTTAGAATGAAAAAATTGCATTACAGAAGTATTGAATATTTCAAAAAAGGAGAAAAATAAAATTTTCTTTCATTTTCAAATAGTATATAATTAATTAAAGTTTATTAAATGGTGGTCAGAGTTGCTGGAAATACTGACAATACACATTTCACAATGGTGAAAGTTGTAAAGGTACCTAAATGAGTGGATTGAAAACACATCTCTCACAATGTTAAAACTCTAAAATCACCTAAATGAGAATGTTGAATATTTCAAGCGTACCTATATGGTGCTGTGGAAACGTTTTAGGGAAGCTTATATGACACATATAATACTTACCTGTTTAATTCACCATATAGTAACCCGAATTAACTGAGGTATGTGAATAACATTGTGGAATTACATTCAATATATTATTTACACACCTAAATTAAGTTTGGTTATTATATAGTAAATTAAAGAGGTAAATATTATATACACACCACTATTATTAGAGGCCTAACTTTGTTGTTTATTTTTTGGTGTGCTGGTGCTGATAAGCCTTGAACAGGCGGAACTGCAGCCAACAGCAGAGGGTGTATTCGTTTAAGGAATGTATTAGACCTTATGTCACAGGTTATATTTTCAGTTACACCTTTGGTGAAATGAAAA